TCATTTCTAAAGGATAGCTTTGCTAGGTATCAAGAGGATAGTTTCTTAAAGTATCTGAAAAGTGGGGGTTTTTTCCTTTTAGTACTGTAAAAATTTCATTCCACTTTCTCCTGTCCTACAAGGTTTCTGCTGAGAATTATACTATCAGATAAATTGGGACACACTTGTCTGTTATTTATTTTCTTTTGCTGATTTGAGAATACTCTCTTTAACTACAAATCTTTGAGAGCTTGATTATAATATATCTTGTGTATACCTGGTTGAATTAAATCTGATGTATGGTTTTTGACCATTCCATACCTGAATAATTGTATCTTTCTCTAGGTTTGAGTAGTATTTATTATATCTTTAAGTAAGTTTTCTTCACTTTTGACATTCTCAAGTCTTGCTTGAATTCCAATAAACCTAATATTTTCTCTTTAATCATGTCCCAAACTTTTCAGAAGCTTCATTTTCTCATAGTTCTTTTTCTTCTATTCCTACTGTCTATTCAAATAGCCTTTGTTCAAGCTCACTAACTCTTCTGCTTGACCTATACTGCTCTTGATGTCTTCTATGTTTTTAATTTCACTTAATTTAGCTTTCAGCTCAAGAATTTATTTTGTTTGTTCCAATCTCTCCTTAAGTTTCTGTCAGCGTACTGGATCATGCATTTGTGTTTTCTTGAGGTTCATTAAGTTTCCTTAAAACAGGTGTTTTAAATTCTCCACCTGAGGGCTGGGGACATAGCTCAGTTGGTAGAGTGCTTGCCTTGCATGCACAAGGTCCTGGATTCAATCCCCAGCACCACAAAAAAAAAAAAAAAAAAAAAAAATCTTCACCTGAGCATTCATCCATATTGGGAGCTATATATGGCCAGATTCTGTACTTTATTTTGACCTGTACGTTAGGCCATATTTCCCTGGAACTTTTTGATGCTTCTTTGTGTGTGACATGATCTATGCATTGAAGGATTAGATATTTATTCCAACTTTATTAATATGGCTGTGTTTGTGTCTATCTTTCCAAAGTTTCTAACCAGTGTTTATGTTTGAGTCAACAGTCACTTCTCCTGTTTGAACACTAGATGGCAACCGAAGTCCAAGTTTGCCAAGAGTCCATTGTTATTGTGATGTAGCTGTTTTAGGGCAATCCAACCTGGTATTGTCCTAAAATTTCAGTTGATGTGTTGTTTAGCATAAATTTGGGGAATATCTCAAAATGATAATCCATCACTACAACCCTTTCCCTGGAGTCAAGGTAGGCCCAAATGCATTGTCCATAGTCACTAGCCTGTGGTCAGGCACTATAAAGTTCTGATAGCTCTGGGCTCCTATTTCATGAGTGTGCACCCATTTCCCTTTTCTTCTCTCAATTATTCTCTCTGTATTGTGCTGCCTGGGTTTAGGTAGGAATGTGGTGGTCAGTCCAGTGGCCCTCCATACCTCAAAACTTGATTCCACCTTTAGTCAATAGCCTGCCAATACCCCCACGTCAATAGGGCAGAAAGGACCAAGGACCATACAAATATGAATGCCAACTTCTGTGGAGGACTCATGGCCCCAAGACTGTTGCAACCAGTCACAGGTAAATTCTGGCTGTAATAAAACTCCGATAAACTAAAATATTCATATAGCTGGCATAGAGCTGTTATAGGCTCTGTCCATAGGCACTGACTTGGGCATATAGCTATTAGGATCTTGATAGTGTTTGATTTTATTATTCTGACACTGAATTCCAAGTCAAAGTCCTGTCTAATTTTCCAAAATGGATCTCATTTGACATAATCTTGGGCACTATATGCTGCCTAAGGTTGAAGGGGTGCTGGGGAAGGCAGTTTCTATGCCATCAAGGTTGATGCTAAGCTGGATCATACATAAATCTCACTGAGGGATCTACCCTGTCTTGTAGAGGGGCATGACTCAGGCCTATTCCAAGGATAATAACCTGATGTAGGTTGAAACACGACACTATTCTACCAGGGCACAAGTTTCATAGGTTTCTGCCTGATGTTGGGGTAGTTCTAGGGTTTTTATTTGTTAGCTCTGGGTTGAACATAGGGACCTTTGGTTTTCTTTCAGTATAGCTTTCACTGAAGTCACTATTAATACATCTCCAATAAATAATTAAACAAAATCTTAATATATATATTTTATGTAGCAGAATAAAAATTAGAGCACAAATGAATGCAACAAAGAATTTWAAAAAAGAGAAAGTCAACAAAATGAAGAATTGATTTTTTGAAAAACAACAAAATTAGTAAGACTTTAGATAGATAAATTTTAAAAAAGATGACTCAAATAATAAAAATTTGAAGTGAAATAGAGATGCTACAATGGATTCCACAGATATAAAAGGCTTGTGAATAATTATCTTACAAAAAGAATTAGATAAATTTCTAGAAACATAAAATCTACCAATCTGGATCATGAAGAAAAAGAAAACATTTGGAAATACCTGTAACTATTAAAAAGAAGAGTTGGTAATCAAAAAACCTTCCAAAGAAAATCCCAGGACAAGATRACTTTGTTGGATAATTCTATCAAATATTTAATTATGAATTAACAATAATCCGTCTATAACATTTCAAAAAATTTAAGGGGGAACACTTAAATCCATAATATTTTATTACCCTTACAAAAAATCATATGACCATACTACAAGAAAACTAGAATAATATTCCTGATGAATATTGGTGGAAAGACTATCCACAATATGCTAGTAAACCAAATTCAATAACATATTAAAAAGATTATACATTATAAACATTTCAGATTGATTACTGTAATGCAAAAATGGTTCAACATATAAAAATAAATCAGTGTAATAATCACATTAACAATATAAAGGGAGAAAAAGCCAAAGATCATGTCCATTGGTTAAGGAAAAATTTTGAAAATATTAAATGAAGAATAGAAGGTAATTACTTCAACAGAATAATAACCATGAAAGAAAAGCCCACAGCTAACATACTCAGTGTGAAAAACAGAAATCATTTCCTCTGAAAGTTTGAGCCAAAGATATCAAGCAAAAAAAGAAATAAAAGGCATATGAGCTGGAAAGGAAGAAGCAAAATTATCTTCATTCATAGATGACATGATCTTCTATGTAGAAAAATCTAAGGATTACACACATACACATACAAACTGTTCAGTAAACAAACTTAGTAATGTTGCAAAAGGTGAATGACACAAAACATCTTGTAATTTTATTTGTGAAAAAATCACAAAACACTGACATGAGAAATTGAAGAAGTTCCATATACTGAAAAGATGTCTATATTTATGGAATGAAACAACATTATAGAAATCCTCTAACAAAGCATAGGGCAAATATCTTAGGGCATTATTTCTTCCACAGGCAACAAAGTAAAAATAGTGCAATAAATCCAAATTAAAAACTTCCATGTAGTAAAGGAAACATTAATCAGAGTAGAAAAATAATCTAAAAATGGGAGAAAATATTTGCAAACCATATCTTGAAAACAATAATATCCAAAATACATAAAGAACTCCTTGGGCAAAGGACTTGAATAGATACATCTCAAAAGAGGATATATAGCTCTTCCACAGGAGGCCTACACGCTGCTGCTCTGCTGCCTCCATGTCTCTAGTGATTACTGAAAAGTTCCAGCACATTTTGCAAGTACTCAACACAAACATCGATGGGCAGTGGAAAATAGCCTTTGCCATCACTGCAATTAAGGGTGTGGGGCAAAGGTATGCTCATGTGGTGTTGAGGAATGCAGACATTGACCTCACCAAGAGGGCAGGAAAAATCACTGAAGATGAGGTTGAACATGTGACCACCATTATGCAGAATCCACCACAGTACAAGATCCCAGACTGGTTCTTGAACAGACAGAAGGATAGAAAGGATGGAAAATACAGCCAGGTTCTGGCCAATGGTCTAGACAATAAACTCSAGGAGGACCTGGAGCAACTGAAGAAGATTAGGGCCCACAGGGGACTGCGCTACTTCTGGGGACTTCGTGTTCAGGCCAGCACACTAAGACCACTGGGCCCAGCGGCCGCACTATGGGTGTATCTAAGAAGAAATGAGTCTTTAGGCCTTTTCTGTTAATAAATAGTTTATATACCAATGGCAAAAAAAGAAGATATATAAATGGTCAAAAAGCATATGAAAAGGTGGTCAACATGATTACTCATCAGGGAAATGCAAACCAAAACCATAATGAGATATTACCTCACACCCAATAGGATGGAAGCTATCAAAACAACAAAATGATAACATGAAGATAGTAAGTATTAGAAACAATATGGGAAACTGGAGCCCTCTTGGTGAGGTCAATGTTATAGTTGGTGCAATTGTAAAATGGCCCAATCACTACACAAAAGCAATGTGAAACATCTTCAAAAAATTAAAAGAAAATTACCAAATGATCTACTAATGATATGCCATAGAATTTTCTTAATCCTCTAAAAAGAAGGAAATACTGTCACATGCTATAACATGCTCAAAAATTGAGCCTATTTTTTTTAAGTAAAACAAGCCAGTCACAAAATAAATCCTATGTGATTCCATTTATATGAAGTATTTAATGCAGCCAAACTTTTAGAAAGAGGAGTAGAACAATGGTTGCCAGGGACTAGAGTAGGGGAAAAGGGAGTTGTTAAATGGATATAGATTTAATTTTGCAAGACAAAAAGTTCTAGATACTGTTGTGAACAGTGTGCATATTTTTAACACTACTGTACTGTACACTTAAAAGTGGTTAAGATGTTGTGGGGTTTTTTGTCATAAAAAAAGCACATGAAAAATTATTTGTAAGGTTTTCATAATAAGTAATAGTTTTAATTATATCTCAAGCAGTAAAATATATAAATGTATATTTTAAATGTACTTAATTTTAGATACATGTGCATATCAGTCACTTTTGCTTACATTTCTAAAATGTTTATTACAAATTAAATATATATGTTTTGTTATAAGCTATGGTATCTACTCAACAAACATTTTATGTAACATAATCTGAAAGGAAAAGGAAAAAAATGGCTTACCTTTCGTGCAAGCTGTGATTCTTAGGGGCCCTAAGTAGTGGTGCTCCCATTACATGACCCACACCATATCCCAGTGTTGATGAAGCATCCCCAAAACCTAGAAAATGAATACTGAATATGAAGCAGCTTTACAAACCAGCTTTGTCATGAGATAATAAGAATGACCTAAATGGATTACTTCTGTAGTTTTTTTTTTTAAATAACATTCTGTGTTAGTCCAGAGAAACAGACTAATAAAAGATGTTTTTATATATAGGAGGGTAGAAGAGAGAAAAATAAAAGAGAGAAAAAAGAAAGAGATTTTAAAGAATTGGCTTATATAATTATAGGACTGAGCAAGTGACAAATTTGTAGAGTAGGCCAACATGCTGCAAATTCAAGTGAGAGTTGACATGGCAGTCTTGAGGTAGAATATCTTCTTCCTCAGGAAACTTCAGTATTTACTGTTACAGAATTAAATTAATTGGGTCAGTCCTCTCCACATCATGGAGCTTATCTGTTTCATTCAAAGTCTACAGATTATAATATCAATCATCTAAACCAATATTATCATAGAAACATTTAAACTAATGTTTGAGCAAACAACAAGGTGTCATAACCTAGATAAGTTGGCACAAAAAAGTGACCATTACACCTATCATCCAATCAAGTATTAGAGACACTCAGGTAACTTAATTATGTAATTCATTATATCTAACATAATATATTTAATATAACACAAACGTATTTATATTAAATATAAACATAAATTTAGTATATTTCCCTTAATAAAGTTCTATAGGATGRCAATACGTTACACCATCACCTTTGTATACTTCACCTTAGCTGCCAGGGTGGAAGGAAGTAGAAATATAGTAGGCTTGCTGCTACATTACAAAGGAATGTATTTTTAGTTGCTATTCAATATAATTAAAAATAAAACAAAAATATTTGCTGCCACTCTTAACATTAGTAAATGATTGCAAATATTTTTGGTGAAAGTAGATATAAATATGAATATCTTCTACTTTAGTTTATTAACATATTTTAGTAATTTATACACTTTTTTGTCTCTCATGGAAAATCATTATTCCAGTGCAAAATACTACTTAGTCACCTTCATATAAAGTATATAAAAATAATTTTGTATTTTTCCTTAAAAATGATATTTAGATAACTCTGTACAAGTAGATGATCTAAGCAGGATCAGAATCTATTTCAATATAAAAATGGATAAATTTTCCTGTGAAATATCTAGGGTTACTTATCATAGGACATAGAAGCATAGAATGCTATAAATAGGGTTGACTATATGATATTCTATTAAATGGCATATCATTTGTCTCCTATGATGAACATGATTATGTTTTTAAATTATCTTAAAAATGTCAAAAGACCTAAAAGTGATTTTTGTTAAAAGAACTTAATACAATGATTATTTTCAGCACCACAATAAATCTGGTGCTAAAGAGGCATCTAATAATGTCCTATTCTCATTATGAACATAAGGCAACAGCTTCCCATCTGTATCCCCAGAGTTTAAAAGTAACAACTAATCAGGCAATTTAATCCAATGTTTTTTAGATTTTTTTCCTTGGAGAAATGAACATCAGCCTGTATAGACTGAACTGAAAAGAAAGACAATAGATGGATGAATAACAGTTTTTATTATTTTAAAAGTACGCAGTTTTCCATTTTTCTACATATTTTCAGTGACATTCAGATGACTTGTCTAGAATTTCAAATCTCAAGTCACTCTTCAGAATTAAGTGTTTCAGTGTGGAATTTTTTGTTTTGGTTTGGTTTTTGTAGTGCTGGGAATCAAACCCAGGGCCTCATGCATGGTAGGCAAGTACCCACTAAAGTACATTCCCAGCTTTCAGTGTAATTTTGAAAATAAGCATACAAGTTAACACTTAACATATATAATGTTATAACAGGGCCAATAGAGAGTATTTTTATATCAGTTAAAATATATATTTTAAAATGCAGAAAGTAAATGGGCCAATAATATTAGAATCAGGGGAACTTGCCTAAATAGAAGCCAGAGGAGTGCAAAGGAACACTGTCGTCAACGAAGGTAATTCCAAGGATATAAAGAGGCATTCCTGCTATTCCCAGCACAATCTGCCCGAAGGTGGAGAAATATACATATTTTGATTGGAATGATTCGGATCTGGTGCAAGCATCCAGAATCTTCATTGGATTGCAAATATCTTTTGAAAAAGATAATTGTATTTTGTTAAATGAATTCAAAAGTTAAATATACAAGAAATATGAAATATTCTTTATCAAACATTTTTCTTCTACAATCTGTTGCCACCATTATGCTTTTATCTTTTAGATATACTTTATTTGTATTGAATGTAGTCCTATGATTAATCATATTCTCAGAAAAAACGCTTTAATAAAAAAAATTTGTGGGAATGCCAGAAGAGATGCACATATTGTAAACCAAAATTTAAATGTTCACGCATGATTGTATTCACACAATTATATGTGCCTAAGCATTTTTATACATATATATTTATACACAATGTAACAAATATTACAGTCATTTCCTATTAATTTTGCATCCTGTTCCACAAGATGCAAACTTCTAATTTTCTGAATCATTAAAGCTTACTTTCTGAGTTCAGTTCTATATTCATTTCTTTAGTGATCTTTATATTAAATTTGTCATTCTGATAAAATAATGTCCCATTTTAGACCGACTAACTTCTAGAACATAGGATCATAAGGACAGGATATAACATGATGAAAATTTCTTGATGCTAGAGTTATTATAAGGTCATTCATCCATGAGATTTAAAGATCCTTTAGTTCACAGGATAGTTCTTATGATTTTTTTAATTCATTAGGTTATAAAAAATGCTAAATAAGTTTTTGTGTGATTTCATTTGTTATTTTACTTTGGTCAAGTTAGGCAATTGTTACTAAATCATATTATTATGGTTGAAATTTAACAAATACTTTCAAAATATTTTGAAAAACCTAGTGAAAAACTTAGTGAAGTACAGATTGCAATATGGTATAACATCACCTTTTCATCTGACTTAGTTTCCATGGAATGATATTTGACTCCATAGCAAATGGGAAAAGGCTCTAGGATTGTGATTAAATGTTGATGGTTCATTTTATACAGACAAATTGACTTGCAGTAATAACAGTATTAGTTTGGAATATTTGCAACATGCTTTTTAATTTCTCAAACTCCTGTTGTTTATGGAAGCCTACCTGCCTTAGGATGCTCATTTTAAAAGTCAAATCTAAGTAAAAACTTTTCATAATTGGATTTTCAAGCATCTATACTCTAATCATCCCTATCTTCCCAGCTCACTTATTTTTGCAACCTTATTTCTGTAGTCCTTAAAACTCATCAGGACTGGTAATCTATTCACCCTGCTCCTTTTCACTAGCCCAGTGTCACATTCCTTCTATCATAATCATCTCAACCTCTGTAGTCCTTTGCTATCTTTTACATCATGCAATTCCTTAGTAAAATTGCAACCCTGGTCAAATTACTTTTTTCCCTACTCTATATTTTCATTTTGAAATTGGTCATGACTGGAGAAAAACACACATCCATTAGAAATCCCACACTGAATTCATGATAAATAAATTCAAGGAGGTCCTTCAGGCTCCTGATAATCATAAAATCTGTCCCTGCCTTCTCCTAGAAAATTCATCTTGTTCATTTCCCTTCTCCTAGGGTTCATACTCCCAAGCTTCCTGTTGACCAATAGAAAGAAGCTAATCTTTTAATGACATTCATCATATTAAAATAAATAAATAAACAAACATAAAAACTCTACTTAGGACTATAAACTATATGGCTATGGCAAATAGCAAGCAAAAGAGAATTTCAAATAGGAAGGAATAATCAATATTATGAAATGCTGATGAAAGTTCAAATCAAAACACATAAAATTTCATTACATTTGTGAAAAAAATTCTGTTGCAGTATTTAGAGTGGAAGCCATGTTAAAGTGGACTGAAGAAAGAATGGGAGATTAAATCAGAAAGCAAGTACAATTCTTTCAGAAAACTCACCTGTGAAAATCAGGAGGTTGAGAAAAGTGATGAAAAAGAGGACTACCAGTTATGTCTATTATTGCTGATATTGTTTAATACTAGGAAGAAACTTCAACAAATTACAGTGCCAATGAGTGGGATGATTGAGAAGAAAAATTTGTAGAAAAGCGGGGAAGGAGATCACTAAGAGGAATAGTTTCCGGAGAGGCAAGGGAGCACAGAATGGTTAGCAGAAGTCATACCTTTATTCCACAGGAAAGAAGAAGTAAAGAATATCAACCAATGAATACATGTGGAATTATAAACCCTCTGAAAATAAATTAAGGCAGTTTTCCTTTATGAAAGTGTACTTTCCATCCAACACAGAACATCAGAGTTAAGTGAGGAAAGTCTAAACTGCTTGTGAATTATGGAACACAGTGTTTTTAGGTTGAGCAGATCCATTTAAGAGCAAAATGAACAACTGAGGTTGACATCAATGAATTTATTGTAGGATTCATAGGCGGCAATCTAGTTATAGCTAAAGGAAATTTATGTGGTTCAGTGAAAAGGCTTTCCAACCAGGGACAAAAACAGAAAAATGAAAAAAGAGAGCTTAGGAATTTGATTCAAGTGTACATACAATACTTCTAATATTTCATGTTGAGGAACATAAGACAAGCTACAAATGAAGGGAAATTATAATGAGGATCTGAGAAAGAAAGTAGGTGTCACTATCCTGGAGGTCCCAGTGAATTTTGCCTTCAACATATGAGTAAGTAGGAAGAAGTGGGGGTGTAATATCAAAGAGCTGGATAATACATGCTGAAGAAGTTCTCATAATAGTGACAGTGCACTGATACCAGGGCACATGTGGATGGTCCCTGAAATATAAAGCTTTAGTAACTAAAGATGAGAATGTGGAATTAGTGTTTCCATGAGTTCATGGAGAAAACTCAGTTCTACCTTTTCAAGGATGTGTGAAGTACAATATCTGCATGCTGGTTGAGGCACAGTCTTGGGGATTGGCATGTCATCAGTAGAGATATCTGTGATAGGCATGGTAAGCAGAGCCAGGGAATAGGAAATGCTGGTAAATGGGAGGCACAGCACCAAAGAGGTTCAGACCACTCAAAAGGGAAGAAAAGAAACTAACTCAAGGGTACACAGAGGACAGAGTAGGAAGATATTCAGACAAGACAAGAAGGATGTGGGAAAGGGACAGAACAAAAGAATACAGAACTCACTGTCTGTGTGTGTATGTGAACTAGATATGAACTTAGAGTTAAAAGTTGTTATTTAATAAATAAACTTTCAAATGCAATAAGAAAAATATCTGTTTAGACAGATGCTTGAAGAGAGCACTTCTACAAATAAATTTATTTCTCTTTTATTCAGTTTATTTCAACTTCTGTGGTATCAAGCAGAGTCACCCAGTAAATACATTATATATTATTATGTGAATTGTATGCATCTAATCACAAGCAAAAACTAAAATATGTTATCTACATGGTATAAACAAGACATAAAAGGAAGAAAGATCATACTGCTTTACTGCCATGACTCCTACTGAGTACTGATCAGAATTTTTACTATGTATAAAGCAATTGTTTCCTAAGGTTTTATTCTTCTGAACAGAATAAAAGTTAAAGGAAAGTTAGGAATTAAATGTTTTCCATTCCCTTCTTGCCTTAAGTCATTTTCTCATTTAACCATAAGTCTGTTCTATAAATATAAAAAAGGGATATTTTATATTTCTTATATTGATATAAATAAATTATACAGTATATAACCATATTTATATATTACTTTTGTTGTATTAATATGAACTATTTTTGAATTTAATATGCTATAAACACACATCATAAATATACTATAAAACACTTTGTACATATCACAAGCATTTATACACTTGTACAGTACACAGAGACCTCCTCCTACCTTTTTTCGCTATGTCTTGCTGAACCCAGTTTAAAGTTGCCAAAATGGGCAAATGCATTCCATCACATATATAAACCTGTACATGATAAGAAGGAATCTGATACAGTACTGTCATAAAAAATTCAAGGAAACTTCAGATGCCTTTTTCTGGTGGGAATAGTGAAAAGATGGTAGAATAATTTTTTTTTTTTTTAATGAACAAAGGGCTGGGATTGTGGCTCAGTGGTAGAGCACTTACCTAGCATGTGTGAGGCACTAGGTTCAATCCTCAGCACCACATAAMAATAATAATAATAATAAAGCTTTGTGTCCAACTACAACTAAAACAAACATTTTAAAAAAATAAACAAAGGGAAGAGGCCACCACCTTCCCCGATTCAAGTACTAAGTCAATGAGCAGGTCCCATTTTGAAATGATGAGAGTAACTACAATAACCTTCCTTTATTTGTGTGTAGGCTTGTTTATATTTGAGCTTGTGTGTGCATTTACATGTATGTATGTCTGTTGAGGCGAGAAGGAAGAGATTAATTAAACCATATTGTGGAAGACAAAAGGAATCATGAAAAATTCTCAAGAGATTCATAGTTATATATATGAAAATTAATAAAAGAGAAATAATCTCATAAAGTAATTATTCCAAATGTTCTTTCCTCTCCTTCCCAAGCCCATTAGTTAATATGAAGGGTATATGATCATGACATAACTGTTCACTAGGAAACTTCAAGTAATTAGTCAATAAACTTAATTATGTGAATCAATATCAATGTATCCGTATATAAACAGATAGGCATCATAGACTATTTGGAGTCCCCGAGCCAATGATTTAAATGAATATTGATTTGAGGCACAACAGTATATTTGAAAATATTACCTGAAACTTCTTCCTCTAAATGAAGATTTTCAACATTCAAGTATGGATAAGCAAGTAAAAATGATGCAACTCCTATTAAAAAGGAGGACAGTGCAACCCATCTTGGTCTATTTCCTCTTGCTCCATAATATGCTACAAATATTGCTACCACGCAAGAGGAAACACCATAACTGAGTTTCAAGGCTAATTTCTGCATGATTCTCAGAGTGTAGTGCTCTTGAAAACTGTTAGCGCTCACGTCTATAAGACCAAAAATAATACCTAGAATATAAAAAGAAAAATGAAGACAATGATATGCATCTAAGAAACAAAATAGGTCACATTATAAACATTTCAAAGCAAACTTAATTTATATTGACTTACCTTTATTTTACATTCTTCTGAATGTTTAAAATCTATAGACATAATTAGTGATTATTTTTCTGACACTAATTGGTGTTAACTTTTAAGAAATATTCGCTAGCTGCATTTTGAAGTTACTTTTTAACTACCTCTATGAGTAATTTCTTGAAGATTATTCTTATTGTATTATTCAGTAGAACTGATCTTTATTTTACTGTGTTACATTTCAATTATTAAAGCATTTATAAATACCTTAATGAATGTTTATCCACCATCTAGAATTGAAAATGTAATGCTATCAGAATTGTTGAAACCAAACATAATTCAAATTCATCTATGTCTCTCCCCTCCATAACCGGCTTTCTGCATTTGAAGTTTACCATTTCTGTGTACTTTCACAATGTACTTATTCAATGTAAATAACACAGGGTATTGAAATGGTTCTATACTATGTGTATTTCTATCATTCAGTGTACAAATAATCATGTTAAGTTTTTTAGCCAAAAATAAGTTGATATAGGCGGGAAATGGTTCCAAAAGTAATACATTTATTGGAATGAAAGGGAAAGTGGTTACTAACTAAAACTCAAGATAACCCTGAAAGATTGCTTGAGCACAACCTTATGCTATGATGCTCCTGTTGGAACAGCACTCACTACCTTGTTTTTCAGGAAAACAGGAGCCCACATTCTTCCTAATGTTAGGCAAACCAGCTCAGTCACCTCCTGCTTCTGCTGCTCTTGCAGGTGCCAGAGACAGACCCGATGAGCACAGTGCTGCTGAACAGTACTCCATTGCTGCTGATGGAATCACATTAACTCCCAAATTTAAATCCAGGAATTTTCAATCATCCAGCATTGCTCCTTTGCTAAAACTGCCAACAGAAGCAGAAAGTACTAGAGGCTTCCCATTACCCCTTTTTACATCTATTGCCACAATCCCTTCAGTGGCAACATCTAGGTGAAATAAGACAGMTTTCTCTGGGCATGTCGTTTTTACACTCACTCTGCCAGTCCACTTGTAAATAGGAGTGAGTTCATGAGGGGAGTTTATAGCCCCCAGGCAAAAATTTTGCAGGGCTTTCCCTTGAGCCTACTTGGGACTCATTTTCACACTTCACTGCATATTTAAACCTCCATAACAAATAAATAACAATATCATCCTGTTTTTGCCTAACATGTTTCAACTATCAGTCATACAAAGATGCTCCCCCAAAAAACACACAACCTAATTAGACACCACATTCATCTCAGGGTAATAATTTTAGTCACAACCCTGAGAAGATTCCTTTGGCCTAAAAACAAAATGGCAATGGTAACTGCCAATAATAAAGCGAATATATCAGAGGCTTAACTAAATTTGTGAGGAATTCCACTGCCAAAGAAACCTCAAGACAGACTTTCAGCTACAATTAGTTTAACAGACCAATACCATCAGAAAACATGATAAAAATTTAACTGCACCCAGGAAAGGAATTTTCTTCAATTCTCACTGTAGATGGGGCCATGGAGGATAATGGACAAGACTAGAAATATGTCCTGCCAGTAATTGTGACCATCTCTACAGAGGCAGTATTAATTTGCCTTTTAATTCACACACATTCTGTAACTTACACACAAATTTTTAAGGTTGTCTACTTTATGTAAAGTATAAACAAAAGAATAAAATGTGAAGGAGCAAAATAAAAAATTGGAATATATACATATGCAAACATATACGTGTACACAAAAATGTATACAGGATATATTTGTATGTATATGAATAAAAGGAACAAAAAAGAGAAAATATGTCACGGCTATAATTTTTATTTCACCAAATGGTTATAAGACCGCAGTTGTATTAATAACTTTCTTCTCCCTTTACTCACCCTTTTTTCTACTGCTTGATCCCAAATAACATGAATAGTTTGCTATTTCCAAGCATACACCTTATCCTATGAGACAGCATCTCAAATTTGTTGATTTTGTCTACCAGTTATGGTGTCTTGTGAGTCTTCAATTAAGCTATTATAATGATTGAGACAAGAGTTTCTGGTTATTGAGATAAGTTGGAAGGTCAGTGAATTCCATGAGCATGAACCAACTGCTCTACCTCTTTTGCTGTAAACTGAATTCTCAATCAGATGCAAAATGATGGTAAAATATTATCAGAAGATAGATAAGACATTCATTAAGTCAAATTATGGTAATGCTTACAGATCCCTGGTGTCAAAAGCAGAGCTCACATCCAAATAAGATCTGTTTTAGTGAGGACATATTATTGCCCACTCAATAACAAAAGCAGAAATATATAATCAACTTGCCTCCAGGTGTCTGGTTGGTTTCATCAAGGAATGGGGTTATTTCCTAGAGTATGCTGATTTGTTCTTGATTGAAGTGGCAAGGCAGGYTTTTGGCAGTGCAATACCCAACTCAACTTTGGTAAGGTAACGCCTTGCATTCGGCTCTTACATATCCTCCATGTTTGATGCAAATGTCACGATAGCCAAAAATTTACCAAACAGAAGTAGAATGGCTAGGGAAAGAGGCTGGCTAATAGTCATAGATGTTTATCTACCTCATTATTGAGTGTTCTCTTTAATGGATTTTTCTTTTTCTTTTTTTTTTTTTTTTTGTTAGTAGTAGCAGGGATCAAACCAAAGGGCACTTAAACACTGAGCCATATCCCCAGCTCTTTTTTGTTTTTTAAAATTTTGAGGCATGGTCTTACAAGGTTGTTTACAGCATCATTAAATTGCTGCCTCCGAACCTGCAATCCTCCTGACTCAGCCTCCCGAGATGCTGGGATTACAGGTGGCACCACCACCCACACCAGCCCTAATGGAATTTTTTTCTTGATATTTAAACAGGACAATTCTGTCCATTTGGAGACATGCATCACTTATTCAGCATTCTACTCATCAAAATATTCAAACTCACAGGGAATGGTCAGTATGGTATCTAGACAATGTGAGTTCTTCTTCAACATAGAAATGTTTTCAAAGCACAATTAAGAGATTTCTAAAATAAATGTCAGATGCCGTTCAAGCATTTATAGTTTAATTTGTTTAATTTCTTTCTTGATTTTGGAGGGATGAATTTTAAAATAATCCCATTTTTAARTGTTGTTTTTGGTAATTACAATTGAACAAAAGCTTCTAATATTTAAAATATAAARTTATTCATTTTTAAATATTTCAATTATGTATTTATTTCCAACTGGTTTTAAACAAAACTGAAACCAAAAGTTAGAGGACTTATTTATAAGACAGTTAAAAATCAGTATGAGACTCTGAAGTTGATTTATGAAATACTTATCCAAAGGTCCAACATTTAAAAAATTTCTTATTCAGAAGGAAAAGACAGGTAACATATAACAAGATGAATATATATATATATATATATATGTACATATATATAAAATTGTGAATAAATAATTTAAATTTTGATGTAAAATATCACAACCTATTATGAGGCAATTATGAATACTTTCTTAAATTATGAATGATTTTTTTACATATTCAAATCACATTTGTACTTCACAGCTTTCTTAGTTCTGGAAAAACATTATTTTTTCCATGGTATTGTGAAACAAAATTTGTAGTACTTTCATTGCCACAGCAATGAGTTAATTCTATCTCTGAAGTAAAAATTTATAAACCTGTAATAGCATTCACAATAGTTATTTATTTATCTTCAACAGAATTAATTTTCAAAGTTTTCTTAATTACAAAAATCAAATACTAATTGGAATAAACTGATTTTTCTATTTCAATTTCCTGATGGCAATATTTAACATTTTGAAAGATTATTCAGCAGATTTGTATCATTTGGTTTTCTTGTGGTTGGTTAATATAAACATGGCTCTTTGATGAATGGTAAACGACAAAACTTTACATGTCTTTGTCAACTTTCTTTTAATAACTTTGGAAGTCATTATGCCAAAAATTTTATTAGAAAATAAAAAGCATTACCAAACAACAAAATCAATAAATCATGGTGAAGTACACAGTACAATAATGAAAACATCATAGTAGCAAGAGTGCTTACATTATTTTTCATAGAGTTTGTAGTTGTGCCTTTCAGCTCTTACCTCCTACAGATACTTCAAGTACAACTAAATTATAATTTAAAGAGTTCCCTACTGCCCTTACAACAGACAGGCAGGCAACTGAATGCATCTTACAGGTTGCAGCATACACCAGGGCAAGTCTGTCTGACATACCCAAGTGGATGGCAGAACCAGCAGCACCAACAACTCCCCCAACCACCCAGTATTGTAAGGAGGTAATTTTAGGCACTTCAGATCACTTCATTATCAGGAAAATCCCTTTACACTGTACTGAAAAGAAAATTTAATAACACCACATGTGGACAAAGCATAGGAAAATTATGGGTTATTACTACCAATCTCTTTTTTTAATGTTTTAAATCTGTTCTTTTTACTGTCTTTTAGATTGAACCATTGACAAAGTAAGAACTCTATTCAACACACTTAATTTTTTACACATTGTAAAATAAGACCACAACAAAATTGAAGTGACTTCTATCACCCCAGCTTATTAAGATAAACTAGTAATGATATTTAGTCAAAAGGGAAGGGGGAATAATTATGATAGGCAACTAGGACACAGACATAAACTGGAACTACCTTAGGCAAACCAGAAGATATATTCAGCCTATTTAAATAGCACATTAAATAGGTTCCCCATATGATAAGGCAATTAATTAAATGAAGCAAGGAATAATTTCATAATGATAAAGAACACAATCCTATCACAATGATTATCAATATAGTAACACAACTGCCAAATCATTAAAATCAAGTAAATAAAACAAAAAAAATATAAATATAAATAAAGCAAAGAAAAAAGTCAATAATTCTCAAAATGTTATAGATCAAATAAGAAAATGAATAAAATAATAAAAAATTATCAGGTA